TTTTTTTTTTTTTTTTTTTTTTTTTTTTTTTTTTTTTTTTGAAAGAGAGAGGAAAATAGAAAGATGGTAAAGGGAGAAGAAGGAGGAGAAAGAAGATGATAGGGGAAAGAAGAAGAAGAGCCCAGACGTTGTCTCAGCGATTTACACATTTTCTTGAGCCATCGTAAAGGCTTGTTATGACGTCAAGTGTCATCTGTTAGAAAGAAGCCCAAGGAGAACCGCATTGCTCTAGCATAGTCATCTCTATCATGCGAATGGTGTTTATTAATCCTTCGAAGGACATCTGAAAATATTTGAATAGGAAAGAAAGTATTACGTTGGAATGCGAGAAAATGAATTACCCATCTCTTGTTTTATTTTTAACTTTTCATCATATAATCCTCTCCTCTGTTTCTTACATCAAACCCCATTTATTTCTAATAGAAATATTTTCAATTAATTCGTAATTTCGTGTTTTGTTTGTTTGCAGAAGGTGGACCCCGAGTTGATATTCACGAAACAAGAACGCATTGGTAAGGGTAGTTTCGGTGAGGTTTTCAAAGGTATCGACAATAGGACCCAACAAGTTGTTGCCATTAAAATCATTGATCTCGAGGAAGCTGAGGATGAGATCGAGGATATTCAACAAGAAATTATGGTACTGTCGCAATGCGACAGTCCATACGTCACCAAATATTATGGGTCCTACCTTAAGGTAAGATATTAATATTATTTAATAAATAATTACTTATACAATAATTCGATTATTTTCATTATCAATTTCGTTCAAATTAATTTTAAAATAATACGCGATCGTGTGTTGTGTGATCATTATTATTATTATTTATTATTTATTATTATTATTATTATTACGTTACACACGGAAGAACGTAATTTGTCTGTCAATCTCATTGTAGCGGCAAATCGGCCGCTCCTATTAACAATCAAACTTTGAATGAAATAAAAAGACAAAAAAAAAATAGGCTTCACCTAACCAGGACACTTGTGCGCCCATGGGCTCGATACGCCCTATCATTTTTTATGCGTCGAAGAATAGGAAGAAGGGCTCGTCGCTCGGTTAACCATTACTTCCGCAACGACAATGTTCGCAGTGTCGACGCTTCCGCTTCCGTTACAACTCTCCCCCTCCCCCTCCCCCTTCGACTATCTATTTCTCTGCTCTTCTTCTCGTAGGATCATGAAAACTTTCCAATATTCCTATATAGAAACTATTTCTATAGAATTCTTTTATACAGACTATAATGTATATATATTGTATATATATATATATATATATATATATATATATATATCCCTTTTCGGCTTTCTAATCCACTTGGTTGGTATGCATTATCGGCAGAGAAATCTTTCATGTATATTATTAGAAAAGAATTAGAGATGATAAACACGCGATGTTGGATAAATAATTTTTATTTGTAATTTTGTGTGTGTGTGTGTTGAAAAAAGAAATTAATATATATTTACTATAATTTGATTACACGTAAAAAATAAGATTTCTATCTTCAATATATTTTTTAATTATCTTTCATTGCAATTTGTAAAAAAAGAATATTTTGTTTTTAGTTTTTAATAGTACACAATCATTTTATAAACGAGTTGATATTTCTAAATAATATATTATTACGATATTTATGATGTCATTTAACGAAAAAAAAAAAAAAAAAAAAAAGAAACAAATATTCGGAATGATACTATAAAATATTTACATAAAGATAGAAAATAATTTTTAATTTCTAAAGATACAAATAAGATTTTATCTAAAAAACGAAAGCCCGTATGTCAAATTAGATTGATCGATTATTATCTACGCAATATTACATCATATTTCCGTCCAACCATATAGTTACGTTAACATTAACTTCGTATAAGCACTTGCCATATAATAAATTCAAAGAGTAAATGTTTTATCGGACTATATAATCTAGTTAAATTACATCATGTATAACTCCCATTCCTTTGATATTTTTGATAAAACTCTACAGTGTTTTACTTTAGATCGTTGATTATTACACGAATTAATATCTAGGATAGATCAAGTTTTCTCGCAATAAATATTCTCATTTATGATTTAACCGTATACGATTTATCGATGGATCATCTTTAACTGTAAAAAAAAAGAGTAGTAGGTAGGGGAATCATTAAATCTATCGTTCGTGTTAGTTAATAACAAGTACGTTGTACTAACTTACGTATAAATTATATCTCGCGAAACTTCCCCATGTCATGTTTCGAATTAAATATCTCTCGGGATAGGAACGAACTAACGATCGTTAATGATCGTTTCACGCACGGTTATTAAACAATATTTATTTTCAATCTAACGAACGATAATATACATTTTTATATTTTTTTCCTTTTTTTTTTTTTTTGTTTTTTGTTAGTTCAATTATTTCATTCTTACTCACACCAATTCCTGTTTTACACACATCCTTTATATTTTTGTATTAATTTTCTTTTTTATTATTATCATTCAGTTTTTTTTTTTTCCTATACTCTCCTAGAGTAATTTTTGTGCTTGCTTCTTTTTTTCGCCTTCTAATTTGAGAAAAATAGGAAAATGAAAATAGTCAGAGTATATGTATTATATATATGTGTGTGTGTGTGTGTATGTGTGTACGTGATAACTCGTACGAATAATAATTACGACGAGCCTGATGACATCCTCGTACATATAACGGGTATACATCATGAATTCCTTTTACTTCTTTCGTAGGTGTGTATACTGCATTCAAAGTGTGAGTCTGTTATTAAACCGACGAACTCGGCGAACAACAGTTATCAAGTCAAAGTGCACAACCATTTCTACCATTCCTTGATCCGGACTACTGAACTTTCCTATTTTTACTTCGTGTCAGATGTATCCTTCTCTACTACTATTCTCGTAATTTTCTTTTAGCTTATTTCTCTTTGAGGTTTACAAAACAAAAGGGATATATTATTTTCGTTGTTTTTTTTTGTATGTATATGTGTTGTATGTATGTGGGTATATTTGGAGAAAAATTCTTTCGATAAAAAATGATTTTTCTTTCTTCCTACCCCATAGATCGTTTAGAAAATTAAATATAAAATTTGTTCTTAATTATATATTGTAAATTATTTAATTAGTTTTAAAGATTTAATGAGATATCTTTTATTTGAATTTTTCAAAATAATTTCATAACGCATAGCTTTTATATTACTTGACGTATAATAAATTGTTCTATTCTTTTCGTATATATATCAAAAAAATACAAAATATCACATAATTTAATCCGCAACGCATTGAGTTTCATATTACCCAATAATCTAACAAATCTTTTAACAAACTTATAATATTATACATTTGAAAGAACAATGAATCATCGAACGAACGTTACGAAATGTGCAATGGGGGTAGTAATTGGTAAGCAATTAGAAAACCAAATACTAATAGAATCCAAACGTAGGAAGTTGAATTAAGAAAGCGTTGGCAAGCACGAAGAAATAAAAAAGAAAAATAAGCAAGAACAAACGGTAATCAGAATTAGTTTTGAATTGTTAGAGAAGCCGCAGATCGAACGAACAGTCATCGTACTTTGACGACACTCCTAGGTGTTTCTCAATCCGGATGCACAGAGGATGATGATGCTGATGCTGATGACGACAACAACAACGATGAGGAGAGGCGTTTCTCTATTTTCTGACTCCTCTTTGTCTTGACATTTTTTTTTATCTTTTTTATTTTTCATAATTTTCTTCTCCTTTTTATTTTTTCAAATCTTTATTATTATTAGCATTGTTCGTCCCGAAAAGAATACGATAAATTACCCTACGCTGACCAAATTTAGTCTCGTAGCACCCATAGAAGAAGAAGAAGAATAAAAGGATCGCGGTGACGTAAAACTCGTGGAATTTTTCTTCTTTTATACTTTTATAATAATTCTCATTCTATTCGTTTTCTCTGAAGTATATGTACTTATTTCTTTCGACGATTCTCTCGTTGAAATTAAATCGGGAAGTAAATCTTGGTATAATGAAATCGTTGGAAAATTACTTTCACTGATTGTGAGCTGGCCGGTTGGTTCTTTCGTTGGTTGAGTTGGATTGAGTTGAGTTGGGTTGGGTTGGGTTTGGTTTGGTTTGGTTGGTCGACTCCATTTTGAGGTTTCTCGTACAGTACCTTTTCCTCTTCATTACGTTCGCTTCATTGTCTTTGTAACAAAGGACGATATCTCTCTTTCTTTCTCATTTTTTTCTTCTTTTTTTTTTTATCTACTATCTTTTCTTCTTCCTCAGAAGGAAACAGGGTGAGGAAAAGGGTAGCGAGTGGGGAAAAGATCGTAGTGGTTAAAAAAGAAATTCTTTCTTTTTTTTACGAATCGAACGAATTTTAATTGGAGAAATCTATTAATTTTAATTTAACATCTCTCTCGATGTGTGTGATTTTTGCGTTGTGTTGTGGCTTTTTATCATGACGACGACAACAACACATCTGCCGTTCTTATTTTAAATACGATGATACGACGATATTTTCTCGATTATATAAAGAAATCTCAACTAGTTGGTACATGACGGCTGTTATTATTATTATTATTATTATTATATTGTTAAATCGGGGTCTATTAGAAAGCAATAAACACTTTAAACGTTTCACAAATCCCCCTTTTAAATTTCAAAATAATACAGATTTCACTCCAATATACTTTCACGTATTTATTATCGTATTTATCATAATCGTTGATTCTAGTCGAATTATAGTGATGAACGAGGAAGCAAGCAACAGGCAGGGGGCCGTGGAGGTAAGGGGGGGGCAAGAATTTGCGGGGAGAATAAATGGGTAAAAAAAAGTTAACAATCTTTTACTAATCGTACGTGTACGATTCGACGAATTCGAAAGGAATATAATCAAAACTCTCTAACGAGTATTAAAATTTCATTTATTAAAAAAAAGAAATAAATAAAAAAAAAATAAAAAGGAAGAAAGAAAAGAAAAGCTGTCCTGTCATTCGAAGCGAAAAGAACCGCCAGCTATTATTGGAGTCGTTTCGGATTCGGCAAAGCGCATTAAAAGATTAAAAACGTTCTATACGAGTTAGAGGAGGGGGTTGGGGGAGAGGGTAGAAGGAGAGTGGTAGAAGGAGAGGGGCAAGGGAAGATGAAAATGGCGAGAAAGTTCGTAGACCTTTTTGAGTGTCCTCTTCTTTCACCTCTTCCCCCTCCCCTCTTCTTTCCCCCTTCCTTATCCCCCATTTTCTTCTCTTGGTTAGGTGGAGGTATGCCATCAGGGTGAAATAAACTCGAAGCGAGAAAAAAGGGGTGTATGGGGGGATTGTCCATGGGTTTCGTATTCGTCGTCGTTTACCCTCGCATTTATAGAAACGAAAAATAAGAAAATAAAAGTGAAAGAAGAGATAACATTCAAGAGCTTCTTTATATAGGGTGAGTCATCTAATTCTTTGCAACAGTCCGAACACACTCTCCGATGACTTGGCTAAACATTATCGAATACAATTTTATTAATATGAAAATGAATTCTTATCTTTTCTTTTTCTTTTTTCCCTCCCCAGGTAATAAGAAATATATTAATTTAAGTATGTTTAGTATTGATTAATTATTTGTATATTGTTATTTCATATTTGTAATATCTTTTATATATAAATTGGTTTACTTTTCATTTTATTTTTTATTAATAACATAAGAGCATATAGAAAAAAAAATTAATAATAATAATTCAAT